GGATCTCCAGGGTTTATTTATCTCGCTCAACTAAAACTTCGTATCTTTTGACCAATACACTTACTTCCCCTTCCGCCTCAAGCCCTATCCTCTGATAACTGTCTCTATACTTGCTGGTTCTATGAGTTTGAGTATTTGGATTAGTCCATTCTCAGGCTGCTGATAAAGACATACCCAAGACTGGGTAATTTATAAAGGAGAGAGGTTTAATGGACTCACAGTTCCACATGGCTGGGGAGGTCTCACAGTCATGGCAGAAGACAAAGGAAGAGCAGAGAGACATCTTACATGGCGGCAGGCAAGAGAGAGCACATGCAGGGGAACTCCCTTTTATAAAAACATCAGATCTCGTGAGACTTACTATCACGAGAACAGCACAGGAAAAACCCACCCCTTCATTCAGTTACTTCCCACCGCGTCCCTCCCACGACACGTGGGGATTATGGGAGCCGCAATTCAAGATGAGACTTGGATGGGGACACAGTCAAATCATGTCAGATTCCTTGTATAAGTGAGATCATGTGATATTTAAGATTTGTTTTCCTGTGCCTGGCTTATTTCAGTGAACATAATGACCTCCAATTCCATTCATGTTGCCGCAAATGACAGTTTCCTTCTTTTTTAAGGCCGCATAGTATTCCGTCATGTACATGTCCCATGTTTCCTTTTATTCATTTGCCCTTAGATGGACACTTCGGTTGTTTGCACATCTTGGCTGTTGTGAATAGAGCTGCATAAACATGGGAGCGCAGGTGTGTCCACAAGATCCTGGTTCTCTTGGGTCTTGCAAGCTAGCATAAGCAGGCACAGAATTATCAGCAAGTGAACAGAGAGGTAAATGGATCAGTATTGATTAATGAGCTTTGCTCATCAACAGATGCTGGTTCCTCAGAAGGTTACACTTCCAAACCATCCTTTCTCTGAATGTCAGTTTCTCAGAAGCTTCATCTGCTCTCTGGGATGGATGTGGTCACACGACACAGGACGACAGTTTTTGTTTCAGTGGCTCATCTCAGTCTGAAGCTGTGAATGGGTTGTTTAAAAATATTGCTGAGAAATGACTTGTGTGCCAGTAAGGGCCTGCTGACGCTGGAACTGAGGTAGATGAAAGGCAATTTAGAGATGCTCTAGAAATCCTGCAGCAGTCGCAGTAGCTCGTGCCTGTAGGTCCAGCACTTTGGAGGCCAAGGCAGGAGGATGGCTTGAGCCTGGAGTTCAAGGCTAGCCTGAGCAACGTAGTGAGACCCTCTCTACAAAAGTGCAAAAATTAACCAGGTAGCTGAGGCGGGAGCCCAGCTTGAGCCCAGGAGGTCGAGGCTACAGTGAGCTGTGATGGCGCCACTGCACTCCAGCCTGGGCGACAGAGCAAACTCATTCTCTCCATTAACCCAAGAACATTTATGCTATGTGAAGAATATTTCAATATGCACGTGAACACATGCACACCTTATAGGATCAGTTACAGGAAGAGGAGGAGGATGAAGAGGAAGAAGAGGATGAGGAGGAGGAGAAAGAAGGAAGAGGAGCCGGCAAAGCGTGTTTAGATTGAAAATGTGCCCCCAAGATACAGTAGAGATTTTTTTTTTTGGAGACAGAGTCTCACTCTGTCGTCCAGGCTGGAGTGCAGTGGCGCGATCTCGGCTTGCTGCCATCTCTGCCTCCGAGGTTCCAGCTGTTCTTCTGCCTGCTCAGCCTCCCGGGTAGCTGGGACTATAGGCGTGCGCCGCCACCATGCCTGGCTTTTTGTATTTTTAGTAGAGATGGGTTGTCACCATGTTGGCCTTGCTGGTCTCAATCTCCTGACCTCATGATCCACCCACCTCGGCCTCCCAAAGTGCTGGGATTACAGGCGGGAGCCTTTTATAGACTATTAGATTTCTTCATTTAGATGCACCCCAGTGGGAGGAAGAGGAAGGGATGGAGGAGGAGGAAGTGGAAAAGAAAAAAGGAAATGGAGGAGAAGATTGTGTAAGAGAAAAAAAGAGAAGGAAGAGATGGAGGAGGGGAAGGAGAAGAGTGTGTTTGGACTGAAAATCTCCCAGCAGCACACAGTGAGATGTTGGTTTTCTTTTACGTTTGTAGTGGTTGCAGTTGTTGTTGTTGTTTGTGGGCACCTATTGCACTTCGTCTTAATCCACGGCAGGTTTTTGAAAACAGAGTCCGTGCTTTGAGCAAGCATTAGTGTGCATTAAGGAAAGAGCCATGTTGAGGAGGGCTGTGTGTTTTACACTCTGTCTGGATTTCTGATAAAAGCAGAGGGCCTGCAGAGAAAAAGCCATGTTGCATAAACCCATTTACTGTTACTCTAATGGTTCTCCTCGTGGGAGTGTGGCGTGTGTGGGTGTGCTCTCTGCAAAGACTCATCTGCAGAAATTATGGCCAGTTTGTCCCCAGATTGAAGAACCATTCAGAGGCAGAGGGTGCTCTCTCTCTGTCTCTCTCACCTTCTCTCCCTCCCCTCCGCCACCAGCAATTTCTGTATTCGGTGGAAAATTCCAGGAAATGCTTTCAGTCCAGGTGCGCCGTGGACTGAAACACCAAGTCTCTGAAAGCCTTGGGCCGTGTGGCTGCAGTGCCTCCTCCCTTTGTCAGGGGACTTAATGACCTCTGATGATTTTCTCTCTCCAGGCGCCGGGACGTTCGGGCAGGTGCACCTGGTGAAGGAGAAGACTGCCAAGCATTTCTTCGCCCTCAAGGTGATGAGCATTCCCGACGTCATCCGCCTGAAGCAGGAGCAGCACGTGCACAATGAGAAGTCCGTTCTGAAGGAAGTCAGCCACCCGTTCCTCATCAGGCTGTGAGTCCCCTCCTCAGGCCTCTCCCCGCTCACCCTCCCTAGGTCCCTCAGTGTCTCTTCTTATAGGAAACAGGGTGGGCCGGGACCGTGGCCTGCGTGCAAAGACTCAGGCCACAGCAATCTCCACCTGGCAGGTCTTATCAGCTTCTGATCTTAGAGCTGGAAAACCTCCCTGGCTCCTGACCTCGATGGCCGACCAGGTCCAAAAAGAAATGCTCTGTGTACAGAATCCATGCCAGGCCCCTTGTTCCTCTCATGGGTGAGCCTACTATCTCTGCCTGGAAATGGAAGCAAGAATCTTTGTTTCCTCAAACTCCTTGGG